CGTGTTTATTCACAAATTTCTTCATTTTCTTGTACCTAATATCATTTTCAGTGGTCGGGTTTGTGACAAAATCTTCATAAAATTTATTTTTGCGATCACATGCGCACCGTAACCATTCTTGGATCCACGGCTTTGTGTTTTTACGGCGGCCTGGTTTACTCTTTTTTGCCTTAATTGGGAAATTTCGGTCGTATAGTTCACTATATTTTTTATCGAAAGCCTCAAATTTTTCATCTACAGAATCATAGTTATTAACCAAGTTCCAGTCTACCGCAGAAATGTCGTTCTCGAACTTTTGGATACTGTCATCGTTTATTACTCGAGAAGACATCTCTGTTGTATCTTCTTGAAGTTTACAACTGAGCCTATTCTGATCAACCATGATTGTGACAAAAGTTGCCAAGTGGTCAGAGATTGACTCAGAAATTACTCCCGATTTTGTAACAGCGTGGCAATTATTGACGAAAATATGGTCAATGATTGTCGCACTGTGATCTGTGACTCTAGTTGGTCTAGATATCACAGGAGCGAACCCATGCTCTGCTAGAGTGTCCACATACTTAGTGACAGAGTCTATTCTCCCGTAATCTAGTAGGTCTATGTTAGTATCACCGGCCAGTATGATATTTTTGTTTCGATGTCTTGCTAAGTTACGGAGGAAAATTTTTAATTGTTCAAGGAAACCATTCAAATCCCCACTTGGAGAGCGATATATATTACAGATTAACGCGTTTTTGTGCCCTTTCAAGGTAAGTTCTGCAACCAAGAATTCTCCTATCTTAGGATTATCGTGGCAACATAGAGCGCTCTTAACGTTTATGTCAGATAATTCACATAGTTTTTTGTTAACATATATAACTAATCCTCCACCACGATTTGACGCTCTGGCGGGAGTCTGAACATACGGTGGATAGAAACCGTCTAGTTCGAGCTCCTCTCCCTGAAAAGGCAAACATTCCGTGTTACAATTTGTTTCATTGAAGCAGAGAACGTCGTATTTTGTGTATTGATTTATATTCTCCCGAAATTCTTCAATGTTCCCATTAAGTGACCTAACGTTTAGCGAGAAAAGTTTTAATTCATACTCCTTCGTATTTTTTATTGCTTTCGCGGTATAGTATTTGCAGTTATTTAGAAGACTAGACGTTGTTTCCCATGGATTCAAATCAGCATCAGTATCATCACGATCACCTATTTGATTTGATAGGTGTTCGCGATTAAAGGGGTTAAACCTAATAGTGTTACTGAGATTTATCATGTGAAGCTGTCTAATGGAGAAATCATATGCTGGGAAAATTTTTCTCAAGCATTCTTTGCAGCCTGTTGAGCCAGCAGAACATCTTGTGTGGGATAGGTTGTCACAGTAGCAACATTTGGTCATTTGTCTTACATTCCCAATTTTTGTGCAAGTGTGACATTTTTCTCGTTTATTGGAGACTGGGATTTGTATAGGCCGTGATGGTAATAGAGGCATGACGGCGCCCACTGGAAGAATTTCTGAAATGCAGCTGTAGCAAGACCATTCTCCAGTAAGTTCAGTTATGTCGCTAGGTGTTAGGTGAGCACATTTTGGGTGATATGTCATATAACAGATACTACAAGTGATGCTTATCTTGTGTGAGACTAGGCGCTTTGTACAGGCCTTACAGCTATTTTTACTACTTCGGATAACTACCATTTTTTTGCTGTAAATGATACTCTTGTTTAAATGTAGATATAGGTTTGCTACTGTATATTAATATGTAATAAAGTACACGGAAAAACAGTTACTGAAAGTATCTACTCCAGATGAGTGAGCCAAGAAAATGGGGCCAGGGAAGAGTGAGAAAACGTGCGAGGTTTTGTGAACACTCTGTCCGGGTCCCTAACTTCAGCTCCTAACTAGAGAAATCAATTCAGTTAAGTGTTATTCTGTGGGAATAAGTTTAAAAAGTTAATTGAAGTATGTGAAATGTGAATGTGACTTGTATTCTGTATTTGTAACTTGTAAGTGTATGTACTTAGTGGTCTGATTACGTGATTCAAATTAGTAAAGATAAGATTTCGATTTGCCGTAAGCTGGTGCAGATAAGACATGGTTCGTATACTGTACGATTCTTAGTAGATTAATAATTATGTCCAAATTTTCGATGTAGTATGTTTGTATATTGTATTGCTGTTCTAAGGTCTGCCCAATGAAGAAACATACTCCCGTCTTAGCGGCCAGTGTTTTCGAATTAAGTAGCTGCGCCCCATAAATTCTTTGACACAGGTAGCAAGAGAGCGAGCTATCTCTCTCTTGGACAGTACTGTTAGGTGGATTCCGTTTCCATCAGGATCTACAATGACCTCTCTTCTCTGGTATAAAACAGTACAAATATGGTGCGAGTCAAAGAACCATAGCTTGGACACTCTATTGCTTAGTTCAAAAATAAAACTGTTAAAAAGCTTAACCTCCTCATTAAGCCACGAGAAACGTGTGAGAACTAAAGAATTAAATATAAAAGTCGTGTTAGGATATTTCTCAATTAGATAAACAATATTTCTTTTAAAATCACATGAAAGGGAGTGGTGGTGGTGGTCATAGCGAGATAAATCGTTTATACCAGAAGAAATTATGACAATTTTAGAGCCAGAAATATACTGTTCGTGATCTAAAATTTTGGATAACTGGTACATTTCGCGTTTGATGCAGTGTACGTTAGGAAGGTCGAAAGGAACATCTCTGAGAAGCGAGTCCGTCAAGAATAATAGACGCTCCTTAGGTTGAGACTGCTCAGTAACTGTAGGCTTATGAATCGGTTCGTGGATCCTCGGGATTTTTTTGCGAGGGGGGGTATTCTGAGAGAGGCGTCTGAACGTAAGCGATATTCTGCAGTCCTGAGTTTCTGGTTGTGGCAATATACCATGCTCCCAGAAATTCTGTGATTCACGTGTCATCACATACACACATCCATGATCAAGTTTGTGGATCTGTTGTTTGACCGGACCGACTTTGCTACGAAATACCAGGTCTCTAGAAGCCCCAAGACTGAGTGTAATGATGTCACCAGTGACCTCATTTTCATCATCACTGTGGAAGGGTATATGGCACTTGCCGTTTTCATATTTGGTGATTAGACAAGTTACCTGCTCCTTATTAAACGTAGGGTCATCTAATGCATTCGAAATGTTTGTAAAAATGTGGTCAATAACGGAGTTCTGAGGATAGTTTCTGGCATGATGCACGGTTGACCCATAGCGGTAATCTGTTGCTCCGAAGTACTGTACGGATCGGGATGCGATTCTGCGGAAGTTCATGCCCTTGCAGATGTCCATCCAATTAATGTCATTAAAGTTCACACTTAGATTACATACCGGAGTAGGTAGAGCTGCGGAGGGTGAGCTGATCACTAACTGTGGTGGGGCTGGAGCAGAAGGGAGTGCGCTGTTTCCGACGCAGTCTGCGGTTGTTCTCCGAACTTCTGTCTTGTAGTCCTCTAGTGTTGTTTCTGCCTTCTCCAGCAAACCGGAAAAATGGTTCATTAACGAATCTATTTTAGCGACATCTACCGTAAACGAATTGATAAAGTTAGCATTTTTACAATCGTTCTCCAGTTTTTGTTTCAATAGAACTTTACGTTTTGAAGTCTTAGTGTTGGTTTTAATCCCTAAATCAATTCCCAATGAATTGTTGTACGAGATTTCGTGCGCCATGTGCTCGTCCTTAACGTGCTCGAACAGATCGAGACATAGTTTAGGTGACAGGGTAGGAAGCCACTGTCCAAAAGTTATGTCTGTTTGAGTACTAACGCACATACCGTGTGTGGTAGGGGTTGCCAGGCAGTGTTCTGTAGAGGTAGTGGTATGGGCACCACTACCTGGCAGCCCGGAGTCCGAAGAGATGATGTCCATATTAGGAGTTGGTTGGATGTACATTTGTTGTAAATTTGAGTGTAAGGCAGTCTTATCAGCACCAGCTTACAATCTATCGGCGGCTTATCAAACTATACTAGCGATTTAAAAGCATGCGTAATACATAAAACTATTTGTTGAGGAAAAACTATTTTGTCTATCCTGTAATGTAAGTCACACTTTTTTGGCAGGCGATTGTGTACAATTTCCTTAAGACACAGACTAAATTATACCTGCATTGTTCTGAAGAGGTTCCGGATACGGAAATAAATACCAAAATATCATCTCATCATGCATGGTTACCGAGTCATGACTCCTCAAAGGTAAAAATTTGCTATCTCGGTAATGTAAGTCACAAAAAAAATGCCCATCTACAAGGCTGCTGTTATTACTATTCTGTTATATGGAGCTGAAGTGTGGAACACAACAAAGAAGCAGATGAAACGGTTTGAGGTCTTCCATCTGACCTCCCTGAGAAGAATCTTGAAGATAAAGTGGTTCTTCCATGTCTCCAATGAAGAAGTTCTCAGGCGTGCTGGAATTAAGTCTATCGAAACTTTCATCGGTGCGGCTAGACTAAGGTCGTACGGACATGTTGTCAGAATGCCAGAGACGCGGTTCCCCAATTTCTTACTGGATTGGAAACCAAACTATGGAAAGACACTGAGAGGACGACCCCGCAAAGGCTGGATGGCCTGTGTACTCGAGGATGCGGCTGAATTTACAGGTGTCGATAACATCAGCAGAGATGCAGTAAAACAGTTGGCTCTAAAGCGAGTGGAATGGAGGAACATGTTACGCCGTAGAAGAGATGTGTGTGATGCAGGCCACTCCAACGACTAGGAGGAGACCTCTTCATGTAGCATGTATGTATGTATGTAAATTTCAAGTAAGATTTAACTGTAGGTTAGTCTTGTAGCACTTGACACTGCAATATAATATGATCTAAATTTCAAGTAAGATTTAACTGTAGGTTAGTGATTAGTCTGTACGGAGCCTCCCAGCTGTTATTACCTGTTTAACTAGCTGTACAGTAGGGATATTATCTGGGTTTACAGGTTTACCAGGTTAGGCTTTTAACCAGCACTACAGCGCACAAATTGTATTTATAGTTTCAGATAACTTACCCAGTTAAAATCAGCAGGAACGCTCATAACTCCCATGTTAATACTTGTATCGACTCTGTCCTCGGCTGTTTTCTTCAGTTCCCTCAGTATTTCTATGGAACAGAAACTTTATCAATACACAATACTTAATCTCTAACTTTGAACGAATTGAGTTTTTAGATAGTTAACCTACATTATCCAGTTTCTTCTCGGGACGCCTTGAAACTTGGATGTTTAAAAAACACTCTGATAATCTTATATCTGTAATTATTATCTCTAATTAATAATAGTTTAAGTTAGTTTCATAATTGATTACCTGCTCCGATGTCCTCAGGTCGCAGATTCCTCTCCTCGCCGTTATCGAACTTTATGTAGAAATAAGGTTGGTTGTTCACACTAGTCAACTTAAAGCTGTATAGCTCTTGCAATTCGTCTAGTTGTTCCTGTAACCAAACTGTTATAGATTTCACTGAATTCACAGATACCAAGTAAGATATCAACAATTATACCCCTATAAAATGTCCATCTGCACACATCATGGCAGCATGCCAACAGAACCATAACCATCTAAATGCAAACATACTCCCAAGATATATGAATAATATGAACGTATATAATAATATGAACTCCTAACAAGTCTAAACCACAATCCTACTTCTCACCTGAGTAAAGTTCTTGCCAATAAAGCGTTTAGCATCGTATATGGTTCTGTGAGGGTTTGTCTTGATTTGTCTCTCCGCTGTGTGTCCTGTATACACTGTGTGTTGGTTTGGGTACCCTACTATACTTGGTATTGTCTGCTTTCCTGCGTCATCACGCAGTATATGAACCTGTTTAGAGTATGAGGTAATACTAATTGATTAATTAATTCATATTTAATTAATTCATAACTCCTATTCGTCAAAAGAACGACCTCACTTCCATAACTATGAAAAATGATTATCATAGCACGGAAAACAGAAAAAAAACCAGAAAATTAGACAAGATAAGAAACACACCTCGCCAGACCCGGGCTGGAACACGCCCACACAACTGTATGTGGTCCCCAGGTCCACACCCACCATTACTGGTTTGGGAGGGGGGAGGAAGTGGTTTGATATCATAGTGGCAAAGAACAGGATAGCTCCTGTGATACCTAGATACTCGTACATCCTACCTAGAAGTTATGTTACGAGAGTTATGTAATATATAAGATAATATTGTGATATACGTAGTGTTTTCTGGAAACCAACGCGAATGTAAACATATTTCTTGCTTATTTTAGTCTAGTTATGGCGCCGATTATGCAGGAAATATTATATAGGTGCTCAATTTTCGATTAATTCTGGATACGCCCATACTCGGTTGAATACACCCCATCTCGTTCGATCTGGGAAGTGAAGCAACTGCAGGCCGGGTTAGTACTTGCATGAGTGACCGCCTGTGAATTCCCGATGCCGTATCCTTTTGCGAATAATTTATGAAGGAATTATACATTATTTATAATCGTGATCAGCTGTGCATGTCAAATGTCAATCCAGCCCAAGAATCAACATTTTTCGAATCAATCGTGAGTATTATCAAAAGCAGTCAAACAGCTTACTTTAATAATGCAAAGTATTTAAATCTTCATCTTCTAAATATTTACAGTACTGAGAACATCTATAAATTTCGTAAATTAAACACATCATAACTTATGAGATCTGAGGAGGCAGTTCACATTTTTATTATTATTATCCCAGTGTCAAAACACGGTTTCCTGCCCCATTGCACTTTTACAAGAAAATCAATCTGAGGGTCACAACTCTCAATCTTTTTGTGTGCAATTAAGAAAAATAATATAGAAATCAAATAATCGTATAATTCTGCATAGTTAAGAAAATTGAAAAGATAAACTCTTGAGTATAAAATTTTTAAGTTCCATAATTATCACACGATTCACTGCTTTTTATCAGAATAATTTATCATACAATTTTCAATCACTTTCACAAATAATTGTTCCCTCTTTACTCCATGGGTAGCACTTGTATCGGTTACCAAGGCCCATACAGGTTTCCCTTGACAACGTCATAGCAACAGTGACGTCATCACAGACGTATGACGTCACAGCACCACTCGACCAGGAGGAATTAGTTTCCATTCTCTGCAGGTTTTTCAACAAACTTCAGAGAATGGGAGAATATTCAGAACCTGGAGGACCCTTTGGTAGGGCCGTCACATAGAAACTGGTGGCCTAGACCTTGTCCACACTTGCCACACAATACCTGTTTAATATTGGGTTCAACAAACGGTTCAATTGTTTATTTCAGAGGTTTTAATATTTACACAGTACAATTCATGAAAACGAAACAAGGCCAAATTTGAATAGAATAGAACATTAGGACCCAATGAGTTTTTAAAAAGAACTAAAGTAACTTACCTTCAAAGCCATTTCAGTTTCATGGTACTTCTTGAGGCTTTGCTTAGTGATCGGCTCGGTGAATGCAGGCCAAGGAGTGCTGTGTTTGTATTTAGCAGCAGACTTGAAGAGAGGGTTCTCACATTTACTGCAAACGTAGGTGCCTGATGTGTGGAGTCATAGTTACTGGAGTCGTAGTTACTGTAGTCATAGTAGCTGTAGTCATGGTAACTGTAGTCATAGTAGCTGTAGTCATGGTAAGTGCAGTCATAGTAACTACAGATTAAGCACTTTGAAGTGGTACCTCGACATTCAATAATCTCAACTTCGAATTATATCATAGTTACAGCAATACAGCATCCAATTACCCGCCGTAAAACAATATGTAAACTATATAGTATATACATAGAAAGCTACATTATATAATGTATATAATGTATAATTACGAAAGTTATAGTATTAAATATACATTAAAGAAGTTGTCTAACCGTTATCGAAGTGATCTTTGTAGACCTCTCCTTTATCCCAACCACAAAACGACATGATGTAGCGATGCTGGGGGAGTTGGAGTTGAGGAACACTTGGGAACCACCGGGGTGGTCTTGCTAGAGCAGCGAGGGATCGAACTAATGTACGTGAGGCAAGTCTTGTTAACATACACTATCTATACAACATCCTGAATATTTGTGAGTTTTTACTTGACATTAAAATAGATTATAACATGAAGATATATTGTAGTTAAATTAGATTATGAAATAATTTTAGTAGAACAATCGGAGAATATAATTAAAACTCTGGCCTGACAAAAAGTAGCAATATTAATATAATATTAATCTCAAAATCATAACACAACATAGATACCTTTATCACATTACATTATTGACTAATGGTACAAGGAAGTATAATAAATATTTAACAAACAAACAATGCAACTTAACTTAGTACTAATTTTACTGTATCAACATATCAAAAGCATAGTCACATTTTTAATCCCTTTATTTTAATCAATAGAAATCTTACACATCATAATAACCTTTAGAAATAAATACTAAAATATACAACAGTTTTTCGGAGTTTCATAGCAAAACAGCAAAAGTTGCTTATCATGCAGCATGTGTAACCGGTTAATAGCAATACATACCTTGTTGTAAGGCTGAATACACTATCGTGGATTTAATAAGATCTTTGAGTTTGATTACAAACAAACTTTATAAATAGACCTGGCTTCTGATCGGACATAATTTATAAATTTAGTCATGTAATATTAATCAATCAGAGTGCTGCAGTAGCGACCAATCAAATTCGTGATTTGCTGTCAGGAATTAAATCAAATATATGTCGCTTCCCCACCAGCAGTCACGTCTACAGGATTTTAATAAAATATATCCACAATATGATGTTAGCACAAACAGCATATCAAACCAGCTCATAGGAAGTAAAATATCTAGTCAAACTACCTACTAACTGGAATTGTTCTGAACCCCTAACACTGCCTCAATTCTGAATCTGATGTCATCATGGTCTGGGAAGAACAAACTATGTTCATTCTGCTGAAGATACTGAAGTAAGAGTCTCATAAAACTTGTTATGTTTAATGTAGGCATCCTGATGACTGGCACTAATCTTGGTCGCTCTCTGATCCTCTGCAACCGCATATTGCGTTCAACTGTTCTGTCTGAAATCTGGCGTGTTCTTCTTTGAGCGGGACGTAGGTTGGGACTTCGATTTACAAGGGATATGGTAGGCACTGTTCGGTTTCTTTGAGTTAAAACGATGGCAGGACGAGTTCTGAGAGAATGGTATGATTTACTTGCTAAATTGTGGTTAAAATTGTTAACTGTAAAGAAAAAATGATACAGTGTACAGTATTTTTATTACTTCTATCCATGTTCAGCTTAACTTGGATAAATAAAATGGATGGACCCCTAAATTTCAACTATAAACATCATTAATTACATACATTGAGAAAAAAAGCAAGGAAGATGATAGTTTAGCCTATACAACTAGTTTACATCTCCAGTCCACAAAGTTTTGTGAACGTCTCAGAATCTCTTAACATTATTTACAAGGCAAGTTAAGAAAGACAAAACTTTCCTCATGATGACGTTATCAATAATAATAATTAATAATAATACTATTTACCTGCGTGGAGTTTGTCTTTTGATGTGAAGACTAATAATTCTTTTCTGTTGTTTCTTTATGTAAATTGAACAGTTTTTTGGCTTCATTCCATGATTCATACTAAAATTTTGAAATGTTTTCATAATCTTCAATAATTTTAGAAGAAAAGGGTAATTAATAGATAAATGAACATTAAGGGGGTATGGGGGGGGGGGGTGGGGGGGGGTATATTCATGGAAATTTTCTCAAAATCGACTTTTTAGTTGTTTCTGATAGAGTGGAGTGATATCTATCAGATGCTTTTAATCAGGAGGTGACCGGGATTCCCGGTTCCGGCAATTTTGAGCTATCCCGGTCCTGGTCCCGGTCATGTCACATTTTCATCCCGGTCCCGGTCAAATGCTGATTTAAGGATTTATGATCCCGGTCCCGGTTCCAGTTAATTCAGGATTCTTGGTCCCGGTCACGGTCCCTCCACTCTTGTTTCTGATAGAGTGGAGTGATATCTATCAGATGCTTTTAATCAGGAGGTGACCGGGATTCCCGGTTCCGGCAATTTTGAGCTATCCCGGTCCTGGTTCCGGTCATGTCACATTTTTCATCCCGGTCCCGGTCCCGGTCAAATGCTGATTTAAGGATTTATGATCCCGGTCCCGGTCCCAGTTAATTCAGGATTCTTGGTCCCGGTCACGGTCCCGGTCACGGTCCCAGTCACGGTCCCGGTCACGGTCACGGTCACGGTCCCGGTCACGGTCCCAGTCCCGGTCACGGTCCCGGTCACGGTCCCGGTCACGGTCCCGGTCACGGTCCCGGTCACAGTCCCGGTCACGGTCCCGGTAACGGTCCCGGTCACGGTCCCGGTCAATCACTCAAATTTGCCGGGATTTTGACCGGGATCTTTTACATAATTTCATTCACTGTGATTTTAAGTTTTTACTTTCATTCATTGTGAATTTCATCTTTAAACAACCTCTGAGCCAAATAAAACAATGTTTAAAATTGCTAAACAAGTTTGAGTAATAATATAAATTATGATCATGTTCACTGCACTGCCCTGCTGTGTAGTGTGTACACAGTGTAGATCAAAGCTATTTCTACTCGGTAACTAATATCGTTACATAACACATAAGTGCAAAGTAACATCAAGTTTTCAACTCAGGCTACGCCCAATTGTCAATTGGAATTGGAGATTGAAACTGTTGAATAATTTGAGGGATCATTGATTGAGGAATGAGGAATGAGGGTGAACCAGTGGCTTAACGAAAGGCCCTGCTGACCCTGCTGTGCAGGGGGGCGCCGCGCCGTCTTAGGGGGGCGCCAAATCGTCGTTTGAATGTGGGACAATTTCGAAAACTTAACTAATGTACTAGCAAAACTGCGCGTTTTGCTCTAGATACACACTTTTTTAGAGATTTTACCGGCGTATTCTTTAAAATCACCTAATTTGTTCAATTTTAGGGAGGGGCACCAAAAGGGGAGGGGGCGCCAACAGGGGGGGCGCTTTTTTCGGCAGGGGGGCGCCAACAGGCAACGTTACGCCACTGGGGTGAACTTGAGTAATCAGTACATGAACATTATTGGTGTAGTACATTAGGCCCATGCCCCATATTGACGGGTTTTTTCTAGTTTTTTCTAATTTGATATTCTAGTTATTACTTATTCAAATTGTTCAATTATAATGTAAATGAAAGTTGCAGCTTTCAATATGAAAATACCAGTTTTGGTCCCGGTCATCCCGGTCATCCCGGTCATCCCGGTCATCCCGGTCATCCCGGTAAAATTGGATTGTTGGTCCCGGTGCCGGTAAATTGATAATCTCCCCAATCTCAGCCCCGGTCCCGGTCCCGGTCAAGTCACATTTTGTATCCCGGTCCCGGTCAGGCCTGAAATCATGTCCCGGTCACCTCCTGCTTTTAATCCGATAGAAAAATATTGTTCCTAGCCGAAATTATCGCCAGTAAAAGGTCAGCGCTTGTGTGTAATTGTATTGCGCGAGCGATTTTTGATCGCGTGCCCTGAAAATCGAGTCTAAAAATCTATCGTCTCTTACATTTTCATATCATAAAATATAATCAATAATACCGAACAATTGCACTGTAAAACATGCTCACGATACACTCAAAATTGCAAATATTCAACGGCTCGTATAATGGGTGATTCTCATCAAAACCGACCCAAAATTACTCTACACACTCAACCTATTGTCATATAATCATTTTTTTAACGATTTGATTAATTTTTGTACAATCATGTAGAGAATTGGGCGTAGAATAACAGGTCATCAAAATATATAACTAAAATATAACTTAAAAATATAAAATTAAGTTTATACTGCTAAAAAAGGCCAAAAACGGGAGGTGTCAGATAATGTTCCACCCGTAACACAGGCCTTTCAGACACTATAACTCATCTTATGATCAATATTTTTTCACAAAACTTTCTGAAAGGCTTATTTATAGGACAGGTAGTACTTCTAACAAGTTTGGAATCTTTATCTTAGTAGATAAGGAAAATTTAGGCTGATAAAGATCTGGGGCGTCACGCCCGTAACAAACCCGTAACGAACCCGTAACACGTTACGGGTGTAACAAATTCTCAAATGTTACACCCGTAACACGTTACGGGCGTAACAATTTCTCAAATGTTACACCTGTAACACGTTGTTGGTGCAACGAATTTGTAATTAATGTAACACCCGTACAGTTGGTATCAAAATGGTACCAATACTAGTAGGTGTGTAATGTAAGTACGATGTACTGTAGTGTCTGGAAGAGTAAATATCTTTCTAGATAGGTATGTGGTTGAATTCTTCATGATTGAATTTGACACGAGGAAGCAATGTTATTCTAGTTCAGCTATTCTCCTCGGTCCTCCGCAGTCCTCCACCTCAGTCCTCCTCTTCATCCTTCTCCTTAGTCCTCCTCCTCAGTCCTCTTCCTCCTCAGTCCTCCCCCAGTCCCCCTCCTCCTATTCAGTACTTCTCATTCTCCTCAGTCCTCCTCCTCCTCCTCATCCTTCTTCTTAGTCCTCCTCCTCCTCAGTCCTCCTCCTTCTCATCCTCCTCCTACTGAGTTCTCCTCCTCCTCCTCCTCCTCCTACCTCTCAGTCCTCCTCCTCAGTCCTCCTCTTTATCCTCCTCCTCTTCCTCCTCAGTCCTCCTCTTCCTCCTAAGTCCTCCCCTCCTCAGTCCTCCTCCTACTCCTACTCCGCGCAGTTCTCCTCAGTCCTCCTCCTTCTCAGTCCTCCTCCTCCTCAGTCCTTCTCCTCCTCAGTCCTCCTCCTCTCTTCACCTCCTTTCTCCTCAGTCCTCCTTCTTCTCATCCTCCTCCTACTGAGTTCTCCTCCTCCTCCTCCTCCTCCTACCTCTCAGTCCTCCTCCTCAGTCCTCCTCTTTATCCTCCTCCTCTTCCTCCTCAGTCCTCCTCTTCCTCCTAAGTCCTCCCCTCCTCAGTCCTCCTCCTACTCCTACTCCGCGCAGTTCTCCTCAGTCCTCCTCCTTCTCAGTCCTCCTCCTCCCCCAGTCCCCCTCCTCCTATTCAGTACTTCTCCTCCTTCTCCTCAGTTCTGCTCAGTCCTCCTCCTCAGTCATCCTCCTCCTCAGTCCTCCTCCTCTTCCTCCTCCTCCTGGGTCCTCCTCCTGGGTCCTCCTGATCCTCATCAGTCCTCCTCCTCCTCCTCATCAGTCCTCTTCACTAGTCCTCCTCCTCAGTCCTCCTTCTCCTCATCCTCCTTCTCATTAGTCCTCCTCATCCTCCTCATACACCTCCTTCTCCTCATCAGTCCTCCTCCTCAGTCCTCAGTCCTCAGTCCTCCTCCTCAGTCCTCAGTCCTCCTTCTCCTCCTCCTTGTCCTCAGTCCTCCTCATCAGTTCTCATCAGTCCTCATCAGTTCTCCTCCTCCCCAGTCCTCCTCCTCCTCCTCATTGGGCATTTTCCTGGGTCCTCCTCCTGGGTCTTCCTCCTCCTCAGTCCTCCTCCTCATCCTTCTCCTTAGTCCTCCTCCTCCTCAGTCCTCCTCCTCCTCAGTCCTCCCCCAGTCCCCCTCCTCCTCCTCCTATTCAGTCCTCCTTCTTCTCAGTTCTCCTCAGTCCTCCTCCTCCTCCTCCTCCTGGGTCCTCCTCCTGGGTCCTTTTGGTCCTCCTCAGTCCTCTTTCTCCTCCTACTCCTCAATCCTCCTCCTCCTCAGTCCTCCTCTTCCTCCTAAGTCCTCCCCTCCTCAGTCCTCCTCCTACTCCTCCTCGTCCTCAGTCCTCCTCATCAGTCCTCCTCCTCCCCAGTCCTCCTCCTCGTCCTCAGTCCTCATCCTCCTTCTTCTCAGTTCTCGTCCTCCTGGGTCGTCCTCCTCCTCAGTCCTCCTGCTTCTCCTCCTCAGTCCTTCTCCTCTTCCTCCTCCTCAGTCCTCTCCCCTGTCACCCTCCTCCTCTTCCTCCTCCTCCTCCTTCTCCCTTTCTCCTCAGTCCTCCTCCTTCTCCTCAGTCCTCCTCCTTGTAAGTCCTTCTCCTCCTCCTCCTAATCCCCCTTCTCCTCAGTCCTCCTCCTTCTCCTCAGTCCTCCTCCTTCTCAGTCCTCCTCCTCCTCAGTCCTCTTCAGTCTTCCTCTTCTTTCTCCTCAGTTCTCTTCCTCCTCCTCAGTCCTCCCCCAGTCCTCCCCCAGTCCTCCTCCTCATCTGTCCTCCTTCTCCTCCTCAGTCCTCCTCCTCCTCTTGAGTCCTTCTTCTCCTCCTCCTCCTCCTATTCATTCCTCCTTCTCAGTTCTCCTCCTCAGTCTTACTCCTCCTCAGCCCCCCTCCTCTTCCTCCTCAGTCCCCTCCTCAGTCCCCCTCCTCCTCTTCCTCTCTTTCATCTCTCAATAATTTGTTCAATTTATTATTATTGTTGGTGTTATTGTTTACATAATTTATTGTTATATACTAAAATGTTTTTAAACGCATTTGAGTCTGACTCGAAATGTGCTCAAGAATTTTTGTGTTTAACAAAGTTTTACTCTCCAGTAATATGGAAAAGTTGTTACATGATATTTTTCATAAATGAATTGATTTTCATCCCTTTTTATGCTATTAAATAATGTGTAGACTATTCTTTGTGCCTAATAAAGGATTAAAAGTTTGAGAAAGGACCATGGTCATTAAC